ACGGTGAAATTTCGAAAGCAATTTTCTATTGAGTAAAAACTTTATTCATACACCAACAAAGCCCGACACAGTTGATAGATGACTGGATTCCTTAAACATGATGTCTTGGGTTAGAATCAGGCCGTGTGCATGGAAAAAGCTTTATTGGGAGAAGCAAAAACCACTTCAATGATCTCTACACCTCATAAAGATTAGTCTCTGTCTATTGGCCAGAAGATACCACCTGGCTTCTACCCAAAAAAAACTTTATTCATACACCGTGAGTATAATGGTTGTTGATTAGATTTCTCGAGACCAAAATAAACAACGTCAAGGAGAATCTCACATGTCAAGTCAGCAGACTTGTACTTCTAATTGACGCTATTATTGATAAGCATATGGCGATAAGCGTTGCAGAAATCATCGATAATATCCAAGACCAAAATAAATATTCGAATAAATGTGCGATCTTATAACTAAAAAATTTGAGCAAAATATCTTCTTCTTTTTTTAACGGAAAATATCTTCTTTACACTCTACATCAATGATTAAAGAACCAGACTAGACTAGAAGATCCGACTGGCTGAATCGTCAACCAGGTTTATTAACAGCTTAGTTTAGATCAAAAAATCGTTTATATAGTTGAGCTGGATTGAACAAGAATTGAGCCGTCATTAAGCCGGAACCCGGAGTTGGACTGGGAATTGGAACGATTTTTAAAGAACCGGGCGGTTTTTTAGCCTGACTAAAAAATTGAAAAAAATAAAGAAAAATAAAAAATTGACCCCCCTCAAATATCCTAATATATTTTAGACTATTTATAACCATATAGTATCATTTCATTAAAAATTTCATATATTGTGGTGTTAAAACTGTGAGTCGTTAGCTTTTTTGGTTCAATATCTAGTCTAGCTTTTAAAACAATATTTTGATTTAAATGAATTAATAATTTTTAATGTTATTAAATATTTTAAACATACATAAATTTAAATATAGAAGGTTGTAGTGCATTTTCAATGATTTGACCATAATTTTAGATTATTTAAATGTATTTCTAAATTATTTAATAATTTGATATTTTTCATATATATTAATTATATGTACATAATATTATTTTTAATTAATTATTACGTCATCAGTCTGACCAAACGATATAACCAATCCGACGGATTGAACCATGACCCGTTAGTCTTTCCGGTTCGACTTTTAAAACATTGCTCTATATATGTTGTAATAGCTGTTTTTTTCCCCCTTGAAAAACAAAGTCATCTTTCCTTAAATTAAAGGGTTAAAGTGCGCCCAGTACCCCAAGTTATTTACCCGGGTGCGTCTAGTGGCTTAAAGTAATTTTGAGTGCATCTAGTGTCCTAAACTAATTAAAATGGTGCGTCTATATCCCAGGCTAACATAAATGTTATGTTTAACTGTTACTTTCCTGACTCAACTTAAAGCTGACCCCATATATTCTAAATAGTAGACATATGGACATTTGATGTGTATTATTCTTACTCAAAATTGAATTTATTTCCTTCCTCTTTTTCTAAATAAATTGACTTTTGAGTAAGAATAATACACATCGGGTACCCATGTGTCTACCATGTAGAATATCTGGGGTCAACATTAAGCTGAGTCAGGAAAGTAACGGTTAAACATAACATTTCTGTTAGCCTGGGATATGGATGCATCATTTTAATTAGTTTAGGACACTGGGTGCACCCAAAATTACTTTAGGCCACTGGCCGCACTGGGATAAATAGTTCAGGGTGCTGGACGCACCTTAATCCTAAATTAAATTATACAGCTATTATGCCATTTAGAAACCGAAGCTTAATATCTATAACCTAATTGAAGCCTACAATTTATCAAACCTTGATGGCATTAATATCATTTTGTATAAGGCGCGAAACCAAATAGTACTGCACACGGTGCGTGAATTAATCAGCATGAGCTAAGGAAATTTCCTAGGTATCGGTGGACTAGCACCCAAATTTTTTGAGCTATATCCAATATCTTGTTATTTTATTTTTTTATGGTGTATCTGTCATTTTGATATTTTTTTTTATTGTGTATATACCTAGTAACCTAATTTTTAAAGTGCTGGATACGTCAAAAAAAAAAGAAAGTTAGAATGCTGAATATGTCATAAAAATATTAAAATACTAAATACATTTTTAAAAAAATCACAGTAATGAATGCACCAAACCCAGTTTTATTAGCCCCGCAAAGCCTTACCACGTCCTTATATTATGGCGTCCGCGCCTGATTTTATTAAATGCCATGGGCCAGCTATTTTAGTTAGAGTGGCAGCTAGAATGCGCATTTTTCAGTCAATAACGTGGGGAAGAGGGGAGCAATTTATTGTATGATTTTGTGAACCAAAATGACGCCGCGATTCAAACTTCTAGGCTCTAGCCCCATGCACAGTGACTGGCGAAAAAGTTGAAAATATGTGTACTTGTTGTTGTCATTTTTACAATCCATTTCCAGGCTCCAGCATCACTAAAACTTGCAAAAGACTAACTTATTATCTGTGCATGAAAATTAAAGAATTTTTCAATTTAACCCTCACACGGTGTAACTTTGAAAAATGAACTCACATTATTGACTAAACATAATATGAAAAATATTTAACACACCGAAATTTCTTTAAAGGAGTTGGGTTTTTTTTTGCAAAACCAATTAATATGATCACGATCGTAAATTTGTTGAAATAAATTTTATATATTATATATTTAATATAATCTGCAACACTCGCTCAGTTGCCTTTTTATAAATTATTTTTTAGTAGAAAAATTTTGAAGTATTTCATTTGATAAATCATTTTGTAAAATGTTACGATTAATTAATACATTTATTCAAAAAAATGCATCTGGTAAATTCAGAAATTACTTACTCCCAGTTTATTTAATAACCATCAATAGAATAAATTGTATTTAATGAAGGATATGACAATAATAACCAAGTCTTATTCCACTAGATAGGTCGACTATATGAATCGATATCACACGATGTCATTAAACCCTATCAATAATAACCAGATCTTTGTTAAGTACTTAATTAAAAGATCTCGTTCAATAACTTTATTGAATATCTTTTTGGCTTTTTTCTACTCCTTTTCATGTGACTCTATACTATTTGATCAACCATCTTTACTAGTGCATTCAAATGCTTTCTTTAAACATGAGTAAACCATTTCAAACAATCTTTTACATATCATTATTTTTAATAGAAGCCACTCCTACTCTATCGTGGGTGTGTGTGTGTGTGTATATATATATATATATATATCCATTATGAATATTAATTTTTCTTGTATAATTACACATTTATCTCATCATTATCCTCATCTCGGCTACCCCCACTTTATGCTCATGTTATCTTTAAAACCCATCATCCAGTACCATATAGCATTGTTAGACTTATAGTAGTGTGACAAAACTTAATTTTCTTTCATTACCTTATTAGGTACTTTTTTATCACAAATATAGTTCCAGTAATTTTTCTCTATTTAAATCACCCAGTTTGAATTCTATAATTAACTCTCTGTCAATTTCACCATCTTTTGGTATACTTGACCTTAATTTCTAAATTTTGCCACTTATAGAATGACTTGATCCCTCAATTTAATCTTCATATTGCTTATAACTTATCTCTTATCAAAATTGCACATATTCTGTATGTAATAAAGGATATAGTTGGAAAATTGAAGTGACATCAATAACTCATTTCTTCATCTATGTAAGGTAGTTAAAGATAATTTATAGTAAAAACCAAAAAGTTAAGGGAGGGAGTAATTGACACTGGAACTCGTCTATAAATATAATAGGATCTGTTGCCTTTTTCTCCCTCAGCTAACGAAACAATAGAGAGAGAGCTGCCAAGGCCAGGGATTATTGCATCTGGATATCTAACACAATAACTATAATGACTTCCATTAAGGGAGAGGAGCCAAAAACTCAAGGTTCGGGTCAACACAGAGAAGGGAATCATAAGAGCCTCTTGCAAAGCGACGCTCTTTATCAGGCAAGTACATATTGGAAGTATACTCGCTCCTCATATGATGCCATCTAGATATCTAGTTTTTAACATTATCGTGATTGATGCTTGTGCTGAACAATATGCATGTTTGTGCAGTATATACTTGAAACCAGTGTTTATCCCAGAGAGCACGAGTGCTTGAAGGAGCTGCGAGACTTGACTGCGAAACACCCCTGGTACGCTCTATGCAATATCAGTTCTATTCCTCTCATCAATCTCAGAATCCCTAGTAATTATCACATCATTATTCTGTACTTAAGTTATTAACTTTATTTTAATACATATATTCTTGCGAAATTGATTAAATATGTTGTGAAATAGGAACGTCTGTTCTGTGTCGGCTGACGAAGGCCAATTTCTGAACTTGTTGCTCAAACTGATGAATGCCAAGAACACCATTGAAATTGGCGTCTTCACTGGTTACTCCCTTCTCGCCACGGCCCTTGCCCTCCCAGAAGATGGGAAGGTTCCTCAAGTTATTCTTATTCTTCCTCTTCTTATCTCATAAAATACACACACGCACTATTATGTAAAACTAATAGTATATTGATTCCTCTTCTCATATATGTACTGTTTCATGATGCATTTAACATTTCATTTTTCAGATATTGGCTTTGGACATCAACCGCGCAGATTATGAGCTGGGCTTGCCTGTGATCCAAAAGGCTGGTGTTGTTCACAAGATTGACTTCAGAGAAGGGCCTGCGCTTCCTGTTCTTGACCACTTGCTCATAGACGTACGTGTACACTGTGCTAAGTTTTATCTGAACTGATATCACTCTCTCAAATTTATTAGTATCTTGCGACGATCATTAATTTGCAGGAAAAGAACAAGGGGGCCTTCGATTTCATATTTGTGGACGCGGATAAGGAAAATTACCTGAACTACCACAGGAGGGCCATTGAGTTGGTGAAGGTTGGGGGACTGATCGGCTACGACAACACCCTATGGAACGGCTCTGTTGCGGACCCACCAGAAGTACCTCAGCCGGATTACATCAAGCATTATCGTGTTTTTGTGTGGGAGCTCAACAAGGCCTTAGCCCTTGACTCTAGGATTGAGATTTGTCAACTTCCCATTGGTGATGGCATTACCCTGTGTCGCCGCATCATCTAATCACTTACTACTACATTTGTTTTTAACTATTTGCATTATTACTACTCTAATTAATTTCATCGTCACAGCTCAAATATTAAGCCGGAATAATAAGGGAGAAATATACTAAATATAGTTGCCTGGATACTTCTCTAGGTTATAGTGCTGTCTCAATTTAATTGGCTATTGTGGATCAGAGCATTAATGAGTCTTCTTGTTATTGGCAGTACTCTCTTTTCTCTTGAAGTTCCTCTCCTGCAATAAGAGCTCTATTATTCTCTCACCCTTCTCGGTGCCTTTATCAAGTTGAGCGGTGACAGGTCAAGTAAAATATTCCCATGATAATACCTCCGGTCCTAGTTATAAGACATTGTTTGTAGTTTATAAATGAAGTCTTATAAGTAGGACTGGAGGTAGTATTTCATATATCTAACCCCTTTGATCTCTGTACACAGGACGTCTTGTAGAATAAATTTGCGGTCTCTAATATAAATGCTCTAGAGAGTTATTAACTAACAATTTTCAATTTTTTCCTCATTATTGCAATTTATTAAAAGGAGAATTCAATTCTAATCTAATACTATCTCTAGTCCTTGATATAAGACTTTTGATTAATTTGGAGAGATTAAGAAAATTAGTTAAGTTAGTCATTTGTAATAACTAAGTGTTGTCTTTCCTAAAATACCTTTGCTAGTCATATATATTAGCTAAAACTACCATTTGATAGAACATTCTACAAAGACTTTTTTGGGAAAAAAATGGATAAATATGAAAGACAGATTGAATTGGGATCTTATATTTAGAACCAAATTAAAAATCAAACTAACTCTTATATTAAAAATCAGAGGTAGTATTTTCATATGCCCTTCAAGTTAAATGCCATGTTTTTCTCTCTCTTTTTCTTCAAACCATGTTCTTTACTATGGGCAGAGTTAAAAAGAAAATTAATTTTAAGATAAAGTTAATAAATTAACAGGTTTTTCTTGTGTCTGATAATGTGGTTGAAAATAATTTATACTACTCCTCCAGTCTTAAATATAAGACCTATTTTACACTATATAAAAGGATTCTTATATTTAGAAGAGGAGTGCTCAATAAGAATTGGACGGAGGATATCACAAGAATGAGATCAGCGTATAACGATTTAGGAGGTGTTTGGATAAAACCAAACTATGGTTTGGAGAATAGATTTTATGAAGAATAGATTTTGTTAAAAAGTTATTCTGATAAAATGAGAGCGTTTGGATAGTTGTTATCAGAAGTACTTTTTATATATATAAATTACTAAAAAGAACATAAGTTAATATGATAATTACATAAAAGATAGATTTTATAATATATCTGAATTTGAAGAAATAAATTTGTTGATAATATATTTTTTACCAACATAATTAATAATATATAAGAAAATGTACTTAATAAATAATTAATATGTATATATATATTTATAAAACATAAGATTAAATACGTTTATAGAAAATTGATTTTTTTTTCACTAACAGAAAAATATTAATTTTTTTTAAAGATTAAACATGAAATCTTTAAACATTCTTTAAGGAGGAATGGATTCGGTTTGACATTCTCCCTTGCGTTATAAATTTTGCTAGCCACGTTAAATTTGCCGGAAGAGAATGAAGGCTTTGAATAATTGGAGAGGGGCATATTCGTCTCGGCTAAAAAAAAAAGGCATATTGCTACATGTAGGCTTTGACACTCTCCATTTTTTTGTCCTTAGAAGCAGATAATTTTCGCTTCTATAAAAACCATGGTTTATGGGCCAAAACCCAAAACTATAGTTTTGACTTTTTTCTTGGTGTTTGGCAATCTCTTTCCGCAAACCATGGTTTGAGATGATACCCAAACAAACCCTTAATGTCGGTGGAGGGGATGATGGACTGGAATCAACAGAGAGAGTAGTGGTTCAACGTCTGAGGCGGACAGGTTGAGCAAATTAGGTAGCTCATGGTTTTTGGTTTGTGATATGTATTTGTCGAGAAGTTAATTAATTAATACATGAATGTGTTAATTGGCTGTCATTAATGTTCATGTCTTCTTGTCATTCAATAATAATTTTGTATTTTTACCAATCCCCCCCACAATGTAGTAGTAGTATTATGATGTGTGACTTCAAAAAACACAGTAGTGTTTGTAAGAATCTCTCTTTGGTCCCTTTTTATTCTATGGCTTTGACACATTTTTTCTCCAAATTCAAGACTTGATCGAACACTCTTTCAAAATATATTGTTCTAACATAACCACCCTCAATTGAATTAGGCAATCTCAGTGTCGGTGTGAGTTGCTCATTCAGTACTTTTGTAAAGAAATTTTTGAGCGGTGATACTTTTGTGTGTTGATTTTGGTATGATCACCTCAACTAGGACCTAATTCGCTTTTTTTACTTTCATAAACAAATTAGGACTCATCTTATTATTGGAAAAATTGATAAGTTTATATTGTTTAGAATAATGCTTTCTCCATTCCTAAATATAATATTTTCTTCACTGATCCATAATTTTTTTTAAAAAGTATGTCGGCTGATTATTTGTAATTAAAATGTAGAGAACTTGGGACATTTTCAAAAATTATCCTTACCATTTGAATGATTGAAAGTTAATGCGCTGATATAAAAGTCATAATAAATATGGGTATTACACTATTATATGAGAAATAAAAATTTAATATGAGAGATAAGAAAAATATAATTGTATATTTAGAACTAAATTAAATATCACAAATAGATCTCATATAAACATATAATACAACAACGAAGGAAATATTATTTTATATAAATGGGGTATTCGTTATATTAGAAGGGGCAATGATTATGGTTATTAGGTTTAAGGTGGTGTGAATGAAATTTTTCAAAAAGTTATCGAGCCTAATAATATTTGAATCTATGTCCAATAAAAAGGATATTGAACATTACGTTACTGCCATATATTAAAAAAAGTATACTATCTATAATATATACCAATAACTATTCAACGTCTTTGAACACAAAAAAAAAAAAAACTATTCAACGCCCAATTAATTGGGGGGAGGGGGGAGTGTGGATATAAGATTCAAATCCTCTTGATATATATTTAAGAAACGATGTTCCATCTTCTCACAAACATATTTTTTAATAATTAATCACAATACTTCAAATAAAAGAGTGTGTTTTAGAGAGCTTTATGGTTTAGTGTTGGAGGTATTTTGTGGATTTCTAACGATAATTTATATCCATTTTGCTTGAAATATTATAAGATTATACTAAAATTATTTACGTCGGTTAACGTGGCCCTTTTTCCCATGAATTTAAAGAAGGACGAAGTTGAAAACAATTGAAAATTTTAACTACCTATTTTTTGATTGGCGTGCATTAAGTAAATTATCTTACATTTAAAGTGGAGGGACTAGGGAGTAAAACGGTATCAGCTTCTTTTTTTGGGGGACAAAAACGATTGTAGGCCTAGCTTCTAGTTTCTAATTAAGAAATATTTTCAGATCGAATGAGATTTGAAAGTTCGGTCATCAACGAAAATGACCTCTCCCGCTAAAGATCATGCATGTTGAGATCTTGATTTCACTAATTCTCACAGTTTCATTTATTTTTCCTGTTAAGTTCTATTTCAATTTGGATCCACAATCTCTCATATACCAGCAAGGCAAAACTTACCTGATTTTTCTTTCAATTTATAATTTAATTAGTGAAAGATTAGAGCAACCTTTTATTTTTGTTAAGTCTAATTCTTCATACCCCTTTTTATTTTTGTTTTAGTCTGTTGATATGTTTACAAAACCTTCTGATATAGTCGGTTAACTAATAATCAACATGATCTAGGAATCTCTTAACCTTTTTTTGACCAAAATGTGGGGGAATCTTTTCACCTAACCAAACCACTATCCATCACTAGGATAAATTTGGCTTATTCTGACCGGCTGCGTCCATATCAGTGAACATTGTCCCAATATTTATATATTTATGGATTTGCGCATGATTTTGGTGCAGGCAACTAACTGCATAATTTAATTAGAATAAGTGGCAGCCAGCGTCCCCATTATATGCTTTTTTCTTTTAATAATGAAGAATAACAGTATTATGCTACAATATTCAAGGTTTTCGCTCCTTGCAGTATAAAGTGACTTGTGAAAAAGTTAATAATACATATTTAATAACATGTAATTATTATTTATATCGAATTAACAAAGGTCTGGGAACGTTTGGTGTACCTGTTTCGAAGAATGTTCGTTGAGTTATCAGCATCGATCACCTTATTAAAAGAATTCTCAGTCACTCCGGGGAGATAACATTATTCGAACTTGTCTATAAGTAGAATAGCATTTCATGCCATTCTCCACCCAGTTAAACAAAACAATAGAGAGAAGCTGACAAGGCCAGGGATCGGATCTGCATATATCTAAGATAGTTACAATGACTTTCGTTAAGGAAGCACCGAAGTCGCAAGCTTCGGGTCAGCATAAAGAAGTGAATCATAAGAGTCTCCTACAAAGCGATGCTCTTTATCAGGCAAGTCTTGGAAATACATATACTCCCTTCACCATATATGCCTTCTAGCTAGCTAACATTATCCATCATTGATCCTTGCGTTTTATGAACAATGTGCACGCTTTTGTGCAGTATATACTGGAAACCAGTGTTTATCCAAGAGAGCATGAGTGCTTAAAGGAGCTGCGAGACATAACAGCAAAACACCCTTGGTACGCGCAGTATATATCCCAGTTTCATAATTTTCTCCCAGATATCCCAAATAATAATCAGAATCATTCTGTTCTTAGCTAATTCAATATGAATATACATAACAACGGGAGAACATATTGTAAAACAGGAACTTGCTGGCTGTGTCTGCCGACGAAGGTCAATTTCTGAACTTGTTGGTGAAACTCATCAACGCCAAGAACACCCTTGAAATTGGCGTCTTCACTGGTTACTCTCTTCTCGCCACAGCCCTTGCTCTTCCAGAAGATGGAAAGGTCCCTTATTTTAAATACCTGCTTTCCCTTATCATCAAACACAAACGTTGTATATACAAGTTCCTGTTCTACTGTATATGATTGTCCCTTAATTACAAGAAAAATGATCTCAGTATGTCTGTTTCATGCTTTTAATATTTCATTTTCAGATATTGGCTTTGGACGTCAACCGCGCAGATTATGAGTTGGGGCTACCTGTAATTGAAAAAGCTGGTGTTGCTCACAAGATTGACTTCAGAGAAGGACCTGCTCTTCCTGTTCTTGACCAGTTGCTAACTGATGTATGTGTCTCAATTAATATGACTTTCTCAGATTAAAATAACGTTGTTTCCCACATGCATGTACTTAATTTATTGTCTTGTGATGATCATTTTGCAGGAAAAGAACAAGGGAGCCTTCGATTTCATATTTGTGGATGCGGATAAGGACAATTACCTGAACTACCACAGGAGGGCCATTGAGTTGGTGAAGGTTGGGGGACTGATCGGCTACGACAACACCCTATGGAACGGCTCTGTTGCGGACCCACCAGAATTACCTCAATTGGATTACATCAAGTATTATCGTGGTTTTGTGCTGGAGCTCAACAAGGCCTTGGCTCTTGACTCTCGGATTGAGATCTGTCAGCTTCCTATTGGTGACGGCATTACCCTGTGCCGCCGCATCATCTGATAACTACCTTTTTAAATTATACTAGTATGTAATTAATTTCATTTTCAACACAGCTAAAAGAATAATACGGGAAATATATGTTAAATTTGGTTGCGAGGATATATACTTCTCCTGGTTATAGTGCGGTCTCTGTTTGATTGATCTGTATTCCTGGAATTGGTCATAATTCCTTTTTATTTTTGCTTTTGTTTTTAAGTTTTACAATGCTTTCGTTGTTTTCGTTTGGTGGACGAATTGGAACTCGGGAGGTGATATAATTATTCGACAATTTTGCTTGTAATTTTGGAAGGACTTTATAAAATTAATTGCTACAAGTGGGCTTTTGAATTTGATGTCCAGCGAGCTGAAGAAAGAGAGATGAAAGTAGCATGGTGGAACTTTTAAATATTTACTTTTGTTCTTTTTTTATTCTCTCTCTTAATTGACTGTGCTGGAGAGCATTAAGCCGTACGTTGCTCTCTTTTTTGTCTCCGAGTTTGTCTCCGGTCCGTGTGACTCGCGAGTCAGGCGAGGGATGGTTTAATTTGTGATGCACGTTGGGCTTATGCAGAGAAAAGCTCAATATTTAAACTTATATATATCCATTTGTTTTACTAATTAAATTAAAGTAGAAAAATGTCGAATTAACACAACCAAATAAATTGTTTAAGCTTATCAGACAATCAAATTGATCAATCTGAGTTTTGCGCATTTATTAACGAGTGGATTGGGCTGAAATTTCATTATATATTCCTATTTTAATCATAGTAAAGTTGGTTTCATTATTCTTGATAACTCATTGATATATTATCTTTGCATTAAAGGGTTTGCGTTGATAGGATAAAAATTTAAAGAGCATAATGCTCTTTAATTTTTATCCTATATATATATTACTTCATCTACATATAAGTAATTATTAGATTTGTGTTTTTAAACTTCTAGAAGCAAATAAGTATGAAGCAACTACGCACCCTCTTGATCCAATAAAAATCTGAAGGAATGAAATAATTAATAAACTTACCAATCAATGAAGATCGTTCTTATATGTGTGTGTGCCTATATGTCGCGAGCAACCCCCCCCCCCCCAAAAAAATGAAGCGACATCAAATACTTTATTTCGAGATTTCATTTTGGGGGAATATATGGACACCCACACTCCTAATTCCAGAATACCTTCCTTATATATTATGTATATAATATTGACCTGAAAAATAATTTATATATTGGATCCATATTACTGTCGTGTGTGTGTGTATATTGCCATTATATATGTATAATTGCATGCCACTATATATTGCCAGCTTCATTAGTTAATTAATCATGAATCGTGGTTACGTGCAATCCCTGTAGTCTCTAGGTCCTTAGTACTGCCAATTTGCCTTTAAACAATTCCATCGTTGCGTGTTCAGAATATGCACCTACTCTCCATTAATCTAAGGTTGTTTACGCATAGTATTGGCCAAAAAAAATATACCATCGTTGATTTACGCGTGATTCCTCATATAGATTTATTAAATTCCAACGTTATTAATAAAAGAATTAATGAAGGGAAAATGATACAAAAATAACACTTGAATTTGCAAAATCCCAATTTAAGCACAATTGACCAATTTGACATTTGTAAATTTACTAAAATGACCATATTGCCTTTTATTTTATTCATTGCTTTTTAAAAAAACCAAATGCCCCCACTGGCCAGCCAGTCATCGGAGCTCAAGTGTAGCCCTTGTCATTGGAGCTCCGGCGACCACCGTTGGCACCAGAGCTCTGGCGATTGGCCGTCCAGTGGAGGCATTTGGTTTTTTAAAAAAATAAATAAAATGAAGGGTAATATGGTCATTTAAGTAAATTTATAAATGTCAAATTGGTCACTTGTACCTAAATTGGGATCTTACAAATTCGTGACCATTTTGACATTTTCAAGTTCAAGTGTTATTTTTGTGTCATTTGCCCATTAATGAATAATTTGCCCACTTGTCACTAAAATGAAATTTGAGTCATGAGTTATCTTGTACTCCTCCTCATGTCCTTGTTATAAATTTTTGTTCTAGACTATAAAATATACTGACTGATTGCCGTATATTACTACTAATAATGTACTCCTCCTCAAGTCATTGTAAGCCGTAATAGCTATATTCTCTCCCAGGCAAATAACTGGGATTTTCGATTATCAACTTTTGCATATAAAAAAATCTAATTATAAATTATCTGCTTTTCTCCTTTTCTACCCTGAAGGATATTTTTTTTTGTTGGTATAGAAAATAGTACTCTCCGGCCAGCTCCAAAACAATTGTATAACACCTTTCCCGGGCCCAGGTAATAATCCTAGACAATCAAGATATTAAAAACTATAAGTTTTTATCATCACTTAGTCAGTAATTAGCCATAACAAAATCCGTTACGAACACGACAAAAAATGTTACAGTAAATCAAATTGAAAATTAAAAAAATTGACCTTTCTGTCAATTGAAAATTAAAAATGAAATACAAAGACAAAATATAATTAATTATCTCTTCCTTTTATTAGCTGCGTAATAGGTTTCCTCTTTTTTAACTAGTTTTCCATTGTTACCTTACCCTGAACCGAATCATCCACTTGCTAATAATTTTTATATTACAGGCAGCAGTTGGCTCATCATACCTAACACTACCCTAAAAGTAATCTTCTTCAAGTCGTAATCAGACTTTTTATATTAACATTGACTATACATCCAATTGGGCCTGCCCTGTAAACCTATATTATGTTAATGGAAAGTAGCTACATATTTTAACTAGAACTTAAAGTTGGTGATCAATTAATCAACGGCTGAATAGAACCAGTGGCCTAAAACATACATGCTTTTTTTTTTTTTTGCACTTATTAATGTAATGCTGACGTTGTTAAAGAATTGATCTTGCATGCCACATTTTTTGTCGACTAAACAATAGTGATTCTAGAATTCAAATCGGTTCCTTAACCACTGAAAAACTTCACGTATGATTAATAAAATTCGCTCAATTATTGGTATATATGAGTATGACACTAATTAGGCGGTTCACGGAATGACGACAAAAAGAGCTTAAGAGATTATCACAAAGTAAAATCAATTAGTACAGGTCAATGATCAAGTTGGAATTGGTCGCCTTCGTGTTGCTTCACGGAAGCTAATTAAGTTGATCTGGAGAGGATTAAAAAAATTGCTTCACCAACTTTTCAACTCCAAAATAAAAGGTTCGTTGTGCGATCAGAGTCACTTGCTTGGCTAACCCGTCTGGCAGAATTATTATCGCTTTACAAACAGCTGAGTTGACCTGAACGTGTCTATAAATAGAACAGCATTTCACGCCTTTATTCTCAGCAAACAAGACTAGCCAAGTTGCCAAGCGTAGGGTTCTTTACAATAAATCTAAGAGAACTACAATGACTTTCGTTAAGGAAGAAGTACCCAAAGCCCAAGCTGCTGGCCAACATAAAGAAGTGAATCATAAGAGTCTCTTACAAAGCGATGCTCTTTATCAGGCAAGTATATACTGCAAATTAAACTAAACATGCTCTCTTCATATAATGCTACTTTTGAACGTTGTGATTGATCATTTTGTTTCTACAATGTGTGTTTGTGCAGTATATACTGGAAACCAGTGTTTATCCAAGAGAGCACGAGTGCTTAAAGGAGCTGCGAGACTTGACGGCAAAACACCCCTGGTATATATAGTCATTATATATATATATATATCAGTTTTGTTCCTCTCATCACTCTCAGGATCCCTAATAATGATCACATCATTATTCTGTAGTTAATTATTAACTTAATTTTATATATATAAATACTCTCACGAAATGGATTATATTTTGAAACAGGAACTTGTTGGCTGTGTCTGCTGACGAAGGTCAATTTCTGAACTTGTTGGTGAAACTCATGAACGCGAAGAACACCATTGAAATTGGTGTCTTCACGGGTTACTCCCTTCTCGCCACAGCCCTTGCCCTCCCAGACGATGGAAAGGTCCCTTACCTTATACTTACTTCCCCTTATTATCATGCACAAATGCTCGCTAGCTAGATGGATAAACAAGTTGCTGTACTGTATATGATTGCCCGATCCCTTTCCTTCATTATTACCACAAGAAAAATGATCTCATCAGTATATTTATTTAATGCATTAATTAATGTGTCGCTTTCAGATATTGGCGTTGGACGTCAACCGGGCAGATTATGAGCTGGGCTTGCCTGTGATTGAAAAAGCTGGTGTCGCTCACAAGATTGACTTCAGAGAAGGGCCTGCTCTTCCTGTTCTTGACCAGTTGCTCTCAGATGTATATATATTATCTCAACTAATATCACTTTCTCAAATTATTATAATATTGTCTACCCCCTGCATGTACTTTAGTAGTTAAGTTACTATCTTGTGACGATCGTTTTGCAGGAAAAGAACAAGGGAGCGTTCGATTTCATATTTGTGGATGCGGATAAGAACAATTACTTGAACTACCACAGGAGGGCCATTGAGTTGGTGAAGGTTGGGGGACTGATCGGCTACGACAACACCCTATGGAACGGCTCTGTTGCGGACCCACCAGAAGTTCCTCAGTTGGATTACATCAAGTATTATCGTGGATTTGTGCTGGAACTCAACAAGGCCTTGGCCCTTGACTCTAGGATCGAGATTTGTCAGCTTCCTATTGGTGATGGCATTACCCTGTGCCGCCGCATCATCTGATTATACAACCCTTCAATTATTAATCTGCCCCACCCTACAATTATCTTCATTAGCTAGCTACCCTCGAACATTAAGCAAAGAATAATTATACGAGGGAAAATGGTAAATGTGGTTGCGTGTATATTTTTCCTGGTGTGATTTTACTGTCGTTTATTTTCAAATATCGCAACGCCTCTGATGTACACTGGTTTGAAAGATAAGATATAACTTGAAGGCGACATGATTGAAAGTAACCAGAACCCAGAGACATACAAACTCCTGAAAGAAGCAAATTAAATCAACAAACTATCTGGACCCGAAATAGAAACCAGTGATGAAATGAAATACGAAACCAATGGAGATACACTCCAACTTTTCATCTATCGCCTGAACAAACTCTTTCGAATAAAATAAGAAATGGTAAGAATTTATTATTGATTTTCCTGACCGGATGATTTCATTTTACCTGCCGCAGGCGGGCCAGGATAGCTTCAATATTTTTCTGCATGGCAGAGATAAGTTCGTAATCATCTGTGTGTGTGTGCGCGCTTCGACGGGTCCACTATAGAATTTTCAATTGGGTTTTCATCGTTACACGGTGTGCTAGCTTGTCACTTTACGTTTTACAAGAGAACTCGTTTGGTGCGTTCTTTTGAGCATGTTAATAAATTTACAACGACTCTCATCTAGTTGGTATACTAATGCGCTGTGTACCTAATAAATACAAATAATATTATACTCCTCTGGTCCTAAATGTAAGACCCTTATACTCACCAGTATAAGGGTCTTACATTTAGGACCGGAGGAGTATTTTTTTGGCCTGGTGAAGTATTAATAATGGTTACAATAATAACATGATGATAATTAGTTATACTATCAACACTTATGTAGTCTTTAAATATTTTAACTTGTACAATAATAAAATTTGTTAAATTGCTTTATACGATTAATTACAGCCATAGTCGATCAAAATTTAACAATGGATTTCTGACATGGAAAATTAGTTGGCATGGCAAACGACTATGGGAGTTAATGCGTATTTTTGAAACATGAATGTATTACCAACGAAAAACGATCTTAGGTAAGTTAGATTTATCGAGAATAATTAATCAATTACGGCTTATGATAACAAGGAAACATAATATGACAAGGAAAAGAAAAGACGATGAAAATGAAAGGCAAAATAATATAACAAACCCTAAAAACGAAACTAGGTATTGCGCGGCTCTACTGATCCTAATTAATTAATGGAGTTGGCAATAAAGTCAACATAGTTCCCATAAAAGTCTGAGGATGTACACAATAATGCATTTAATTTCTTGGTTATTTAGGAGTAAAATTCGGTGGGCGACAAGGACTGTATAATGAAGGTTTTTTTTTTTTTTGCCAGAAATGATGAAAGTCTACAAATATTTAATGTATTTTCTCCGTTTCAAAATCTAAATCTTTTAAAGTTTAGGCACACGTATTAATGTGTTGGAAAAAAAAAAAAGCACACGTATTAATAAATACAATTAATACATTTTTACCAACAAATACTACAATTCATACATTAATATGGTATATTGACTAATTATCTAACTCGCCCCTAATCAATGTGTTGATTATATTGAAGTGATTACAATAAATAAGGGTATATAATAAACATTAATAAATGCTGTCTTAAACTTCTAAAAAAGATAAATTAAAGGAAATGAAAATATTTTTCAAGGAGGCTTATACTCTCCATAACTTCAAACATTTTAACCAGAACAAAAAAGAACATTAAACCTCATAAACTGATCTACCTTAAAATTTAATAATTTTCTAAACTTTATCCCTACTATATATATATATATTTTTAAAAACATAGCAATCTACATGATAACAAATGAAAAGAAAAATAGTACATTTGTAGTAAAAATTTAATGGTGTGACTTATAAATAAGATAAAAAAATTCTTTCTGTTTTATAAATAAGACCAAAGTGATATTTTAAAACAAGGGGGTAACATATAATTACACATGTTAACAAGCTATCATGCAAATAACTTCCTGCACAACATATGTTTATCAAAAGAAAATATAGCTATCAAATCAAGTTTAATTTTACCTGAATTAGTTGTCAAGAATTATGTCTCTTAAACAAATAATTGGAGTTTCAATCCCCAATTCTTCTTATATATGTCGCAAATCTATTTTATTACTCTAATTTACTTTGAGATCAGAGATTATTCACTCTGCCAATCAAGGTCAGTGTGGTGGTTTAAAGAGGACAGATTTGGTGATCTAGTAGTGGTAGATCAAGCTGAAAGGATTGGATTGTGCTAAAATCCAAAGGGAGTTCTCATGAATGGGTTTAATTAGTTCTATTTAATTCCTCTATATAATAACGACACATTGTAATAAATAACAAAAGAAATTTTTAGAGTAACAGCATCAAAAATTTAGTTGGGGATGTCATAATCAATAACCCACTTGTAATTGATATATTTTAATTTTACCGTTGACATTATCTGTTTAATTTAATTCTTTTCTTTAATTTAATTCTCCATACTGCAGTTGGTGCCACTGAAAAGGATTCATCATGGCTTTGCAAAACTAAAAAAAAATCAAAAATTGTTCTAAGAATATCTTTTAGCGTTTTTTTTTTTTATATTTTGTTCTACAAAATTAGAAAAAGAGGAATACAACATTATATTTTGGAAAAATTGCAACAAAAAAAAAAGAGACCGGTTCACAAAAATCATTGTCAAAATCCATACTATTGTTATCAAAACCCATACTAATGTCTTACCAAAAAAAAACCATACTAATGTTGTCATTGGTCCTTATTTGTAATGTTTCTATTTCGGTGGTTTTTTTTTTTGTTGCCATTTTCCCTTATATTTTTCTTAATAGAAGTTGATTATAATTATTTTTTTATCTCCCTTTTTTTTTTGGGAGCTTTTACTTCGGCCTTCGGTTAGGATAGTCGCAATAGTGACCTTAATAGTTATATATGTTATGCCTTGTTAATTTTACTATAAGTTGTGTCCGATGTGTGCTACTGTTTTATATATGGCTATATGTATGTACTTTTCTTTTTTCACATCAAATAACAAAATGATTTTGATATGCACTACTACGTGAAAAATAAAATCTTCAAACAATTTTCAATATATCTCTAATTTAACAGCATCCTAAAAGAAATAAAGTGGCAGCGGGTAAACATTTGGTGACGACGGACCAGAAACACACGATCAGCTGACCTAGGGATCGCAAGGTAGACTAAATAGCTGCTAATATTTTTAAAATTATTTTCATAACATAATAGTATGAATAAAAATTTTTTATCACATCTGAAAAATTAAATTACATATACTATTAATAAACACGAACATTTCAGGTTAAAAAAAAAACACAAACATAATTGTTAACGGCATTGTATTTCTGGATCTGTTTGAACTTAAGACTGAACACGCAATAGAACTAAGAATATGGGCCTCGATCAGCTAGGAAGAATGGCCCAATCAGCCCAAACATAAACTCTCACACGGTGGGCCGTGAAAGTTTAAACTAGGATTTAAGGGGTGCCGTAGGCCCAAGTGGTAGTGCAACACATGGGCGACGCTTGAGGGTCCAAATAGCAAGGTATTTTGCTGGGCCATCCCACTAGAGCAACGAATTTAATATCATGTGGGCCCAGCGACGAGCCTTCCTTTGGATTTCATCGAAGCTACTCGGCCTCCCTTGTTCTGTGGTGCCCGAGGGGGGACTCAGTTTGGACTTCGGAATGACAAAATTCTGACAACTCATGATCACTGGTAAACCTATGTCCATATTCTGACGACACTTAAAAAATCAAGTTATACTTAAAAAATATTGAGTGAATTGCCAAAAAAAAATTGTGAAAACAGAAAAATTACAAATAAGACCCATTATAAGCAAATGGCAACAATCTTGTGAAGGGGTTTTTACCTACAATTTTTTTTTTTAATTTTTAAGGTCTTTTTTTATGATTTTTCAAAAAATATTTTCTTAATTACCAGCAACATAAAGACATAAAAATTTTTCAACAGGCATTTTACTTGTTTTCTAATTACAGAGCCTTTAACCATTTTAGTTAAGTGCAAAATCGATGATTCCGTGCACGGAATCTGAATCTCGTTTAAACTAAAACAGCAATGCAAAAGCCAAATATGGTCATCTGTTTTGAATATATAATAAAAAAAGAAGAAAAATAGTACAAGAAAATGCAACACGATAACGTTGGGAAAGAACGTGGCAATAAGAAGACTGCGTAAAACGATGGCGCCAGCATGAGAGCACACTTTTCCCCCTTTTCCTTCGGTATCAAGGAGAACCCACGCGAACCCATTTCATTTCCATTCCCAGAGGAGTCCTGATTCTGACAAGAAGGTAGAGACCTTGAGGTCAGAGAGTTCTGGGGAATGGAACTGGAGACAAAGATTGATCGCTTGCCTATTGACTTGCTGGCTCATATTTTTTGTTTCTTCTCCTCCTTCACTGATTTGGCTCAGTAAGTTAGCTCTATGTTTAACTCATGAATCGTTCCTTCTTCTGCCTATATGCTTATCTATCGTGTTCTTTGTTCTTCTGTCAATTTCTGTGCAAAAATTTCAAGGGCGAGTAGTGTGTGCAAGAATTGGAAACAAGGGGTCAAGGAATCTTTGGCTCGCAAACAGAATCTGAGCTTCGCCGGATGGAAAATGGATGATGAATCCACAGCTCGCCTCGTTTGCGATGCCTACAACCTCAAAAAGCTTGACATGTATGTCTCTGTTTCGTTTCTTATCTTATAACTGAATGCTTTGGACATCTTCCTTTTTGGGGGTCGCTTGCAAGTTGTAATAATAGGATCATTCGACTTCCTATATGATGTTTTCTAACAAGTTAAGCAATGGGTTTTCATAGTTTCAGAGATATATTATATATTGAATGACCAATTAAATTGGAGCTCATTGCATCTCGCAATGCTATTGCAAGTTCAAGTATTATTTGGAGAAGGGTGACACCATGTCATGAGTTCATCCCAGGATGGTTGATCACTAGCGACTGCTTGATTGTGTTTTATTTGAGAACCATGCATTATAGCAATTATGGTGACTCAAAATTAGGACAGAATGTTTTAGATGTTCTTCAAAGCGAGTGTCATAGACTTTCCTACAGAAAGGATTCTCTCTCTTATTCCTGAACACTGTTGCCAACTTCTTGATAGCGTGATTTGACTTTAACAACCATACATGTTCAGAATTCATTGAGTAAATATCAGCCTATCAAGTTCAAATTTCTGTATACCTCAGTGGCATCATTCATTAATCCGAGTAATGACAGGACATGCCTTTCGTATACCACATTCAGAATTTCCTTTTCTGGCCTCATTAAGCCATTTCTTTAGCCTTTGCTTATTGATTTATGGAGGCAACTGGTTGTGATGACATAGTAACTTTGTTCTCGTTTTAATATATATATATATATATATATATGATAGGCATATGTTGGTTGAAAACAAATTATGTTTCTCACCCCAGAAATTACAGTTATTGAACAAAATAGATTAGATGTGTTGCTTCATATTAACCATTAAATCATGCATCTAAAGATGGCCTTGACACTGATCAATTAGTTAACATTTTAGACAAGCAAAAGCTGATATTTGGAAATTTCATAGCTGCAGTGAGATGATGGCTTGTGGCCTGTGGCTAAACTGTATTATGATTCCAATCAAGCAATATCTGAAAATCCACTTTGTATTATTTGTCTTTTTATGATGATTTTAGCCCGAGGAGCCGTTGGGGTTGCCAAATAACTGATAGCGGACTTATCAAAATATCTTTGGCAAAGTGTGTAGGCAATCTCACATCCATCTCACTCTGGGGTTTGACTGGGATTACAGATGAAGGAGTTATTCAACTGGTATGTTATGGTTTTATGGTTCTTGCAACTTCCTCAGTTGTCTAGGAGCTTTTCCTCGGATTCCTGTAACTAGCCTGTTTGGTTGGGCATTTTTTTAACTCAAAAGCACGTTTGTAAATTTTTGACATGTTTGGTTGAGTTTTTGACCTATCCTCCTTATGAGCCAAAAGTGAGATTGAAACGCATGATAAGCTAATTTGAGAAGCTTTTGTCTGAGCTTCATCATACTTATGGTTGGTAGAGCACCTACAACTTCCATATTCATATATTAAATTTAGATCAAGTTCTTTATAATTTCTTCATCAACTTCTTCAATAAAAATATGACGTACTAGACATTTCTCAGGAGACCTAATCATGCAATGCAAAATTGTGAAAACCTCGTGTTTTATCTTTCATTGAAGAACCTGGCATTATATATATATATATATAT